CTTTGGTCTGACCCAGTACGGTCGTTCTTCTGTTCTTACAACGTAGATGCACTTCTACTAGGATAAGAGTGCTTCTGCTGGTATAGTTTAGGTCTCTTAAGGGACTGGTATAAACTGTATGGGCAGAAGCCCTCTTATGCTGGTATAAGCTGCATCTACACGAGGAGGGCTAGTCAATACAGCTCTACCAAGATAGCAATGCCAGCAGCTCTTCAAGTGTAGACAAGGTCTAAAAGGTAAATACTGACCTAAACCTGAACCCCTTTCCTCACTCTAAATTTTGGGCATGTTTGAACCTGGATCAGAACTTTGTGACTGGCCTCTTTAAAGGTTAGCATCAAGCTTACCCTGAGGTTATCCAGGGACACTGACAAATAGTTAGAAAAGGATTATTGGACACCTTCCACAAGGCTGTGAAAACTAAACAGTTTTAAGGCCTGTTTCCATTGAGGAGCTCTTCAGAACGAGGGGCTTGTGACATTTTCAAGGCCTACAGCTGCAGAAAACTGGGGGGAGTTGCATTGCCACAGTCCTGTTGAAAGCAAGCAAGCAAGCTGGGGCATCATCATGAAAAATGAAATATGTCTCACCCTGTGTATCTCTGAGCCAAATGACTTTTGTTTATTTACTTGCTCTTCATTTAGATTTTAGATCAGCAGCAGTTACCCAGCAAGCATGGGAGAGGCAGCTTAAATGAGTACTCGTCCTACAGGACAAGACTGGAAACAGATCTGAGCAGTGAAGGAGAGTTTTCAAAGGCAATGTTTTTGATCATTTGTTTTTCTGTTTTCTTGGCCCCTTCTCAAAAGATCATGTTTCTGGAAGGGAAGTTTCCCCTGGCGAAGTGGCTGACCCATTGGCAATAGTACAAAGTGCTGAGTTTTTAGGAGATGAACTCATGCTTTTGAATTCAATCCCCTTTTGCTGATGAAAGCTGCTGATGAAGGGGAGGCTGGCAGAGCTCTGGAGGAAGTATTGTCCAATGGTGAGGGCGCTAGCCTGGGATGTCAGAGACCTGCGTTCAGTTCCCAGTCTGCTGCAGAGTTTCTGTGTGATCTTGGACAAGTCTCTTTGGGCCTTAGTTCCCCATCTGAGCAGTGGGGAACAGAGCACAGCCCTACCTCAGAGCGGTAGGATGATGAGAGAGTTGAAAAAAGTAGCCTAGCTAGATCCCTAGTAGAGAATATTAATGGCAATTTGTGTCCTCTGACTGCACTTCAGGTTGTGGAGAAATGCTACAGTGATGGGGCACCACTCTGCACTTGTCTGGCACATTCCCTCCAAGAGGCTTAAAACACTTCACAGATGTTAATGGACTAATACTTGGGTGAGGTAGGGGAATATTTGTAGTGTTGTAAAGTATTTAGGAAAGGAAACTGAGGCACATAGAGGTTACATGCCCTATGAGCCATTGGTAGAGTTAGGAACAGAGTCCATGGGCCAAGATTTTCAAAGAAGTAACTAGTGATTTGCGATCCTTTTCAGGTATCCATTTTGAGACATCTTAAAAGAGCTCTATCTTCAATGGCTGGGGCCTCAGCATTTTCAGAAAATCAGGTCACTTTAAAGTGTCTCGCGCCGGGACCTCAAATACTCAGGCACCCCACAACACTAATCAATCACTTTGGAAAATCATGGCTGATTTCAAGACTCCAGACTCCCGCTCCCCTCTCATAACCTTCAGACGTCTCCCCCTTCAGTGGACAGTAGTTTATAAAAAGCCTATGAATTCTTGTGTGTTTGGCCAACAGCTCGTACGGATGCAGTGAAGGTTGTAAGGGCTTTGTTCAAACTTCATTGGTTAGTCTGTATTTTGGGGATGGCAAGAACACAACATTCCCATCCTGTGGCTCAGCTGATAGTGTTAAGTGCTTCACACGCTGGTCCAAGCAATGGAAAAGCTCTCAAGGGGCCTCCTTCTGGGTGATCATGGGGATCTCTGTCGAATGATCGTTCTGTTTTAGGATCCAGACTCCCCAGCTGTCAAATGTTCATAAGGCCTCCAATTCAGCAGCTTATCTTCTCTTACATCATAAAGAAATAGGTGGAAACCAGCCAAGGGCACATAGAAGGGAAGATACGGCAGGAGTGGGGAAACGGTCAAGGGGAATACAAGCGTATTTATAAAATCAGAACAATGAATCCACGGAGTTCTGATAAGAGCCGCAGGAGCTATTTTTTACTCTCAAATCTGAATTTGGATTTTGATTGTTTGGGTTCCCCCTGCCCTTTAAAATAAAAACACCTTTTAGTGGGTGGAAAGGGTTAATATGCTAGCTTTTTATTTATGGTCTGAATTCAGATCTACCTGAGGGCCAAAGGAAATGAGCTGTGTGAACTTAGAATAGCAGGGTTGCAAGGGACCTCAGGAGGTCATCTAGTCCAACCCCCTGCTCAAAGCAGGACCAATCCCCAGACAGATTTTTGCCCCTAGATCTCTAAATGGCCCCCTCAAGGATTGAACTCACAATCCTGGGTTTAGCAGGCCAATGCTCAAACCCCTGAGCTATCCCTCTCCTCCTTAGCCTAGTCCCTGATGGGCATTTGTTCCTATCATACTTAGAACACAGCTCACAACACTCAACACAGTCTTAAACAATTGGCTTGAAGGGTGGCCTGCATTTGTAAACAGCAGGGGATTTGCAATCTAGCCAGCAGGGCTGAAATCCATTGGCAGAGCTGCATTGGGAGACTCACACAGTATTGCCCTGGCTTGAAGCCTGGCCTCTGAAAGTGTTATCAATTGCTCGCGTTCATGAACATTAAAGATATCAAACTTTCCTTTTTTTAATAGCCGCTCAAAGGAAATGCAAATTTAGATCAAGGTCAGAGGCATAAAAAGTTCTTTTTCTCATGCTCTCTTTTGTGGAAATACTAGGGCTCATATGGTGGCTGTAATGATATATCTTCGTGCAATGTCAGAGCACAGGCTTGATTCATGGGCACACATCACTGTGTATATCACTCACGTCATTTACTGTAAAGTGATGCACCCAAGGGCATGAGATTATCATCCTCAGAAGATCCAGCAGTAGTCCATGAGGGTTGCACTAACCAAAATCCTCTACGGCCACACTGTTCTCCCCCATGTGATGCGAGTAGCAGTTCTCATGTGTGTCTATTATCTTCTAATGTTGCTTTGGGGGTTGTTTGCTAGAGATGCACAAGGGCCATAAAGTGTTTGTATTAGATATGCATCCACATAAGTGAGATCAGAACTGACCCCTAGGGAAAGAACCCATCAACACTTAAGCATGTCAGTTGAGTAACTTTGCTCAGGGGAGTAGTCCCATTTAATTCAATGAAACCATTCACCTGAGTAAAATTATTCATGTCTGCAGGATTAGGTCTTAAGGTTGTACCACAAAGTAGCACTCAATCAGTTCCTATACATGCTTAACTAGATATACAAGGTTACGCTTCAGTTCTTTGTGATGACCAGACATTTACCTGAACAAAGCTGACCAAACTCTAGATAGGAAAGGAAACTTCCAAAATTACCACATCTAGGAATATTTTGGGGAAAGTTGAAGAACAGGATTTTTTGTTTAGAAAATAAAATCTAGCTCTTTTCATCAGTAGATTGCTAAGCACTTTACAAAGGGGATCAGTATAAATACCCCTATATTACAGATAGGGAAACTGAGGCACGGAGCAGCAAAGTGACTTGCCCAAGGTCACCCAGCAGTGCAGTGGCAGAGCTAGGAATAAAACCCAGCTCTCCTGACTCCTAGTCGAGTGCTCTATCCATGAGGTCGCACTCTCCTACTGCTTTTAAATCATGAAGAAAATAACGTATTTTCATTCATGTCCTATGACAATCCCCTGAGTGGATATTAAAAAAAAAGATTCTAAACTCATGTTTAAAATAACTTATGTATCTTGGACACCCTTCCAAGTTCATCTCATGAATTTTGTGCATTAAGCCAAGGTCTTATACACTGTGTCATCAAGGGATCACATTTACAAATAAGATTAAGAAGTGAAATAAAATCACGCTAGAAGGAGATAACTCACTCGCTGGCACAGAGCTCGAAGCTGAATTGATCTCCTGGCACATGTGCACACTCTTACGGCTGCCAATAACACCCAGCAATTAGTCAGAGCTAAAATACACAGTGTTTATAGTCAAGGGTTGTAATGAAATCAACATCTTCTCTCATGAAGGGAACTTAACCCCTGTGTGTTTATTTAATAGCACAAAAAAAGTCCCCCCAAGGATCATGTCAGAGAACTGCATAGTGAAATATTGGTTTTGATCTGAGAACGATTTGGTATGCAACGTCTACATAACTTCTTTATATCGGTATCTGCCAACAACAGAAAATCATTTTTTTTAGTATGCTCTAGTAGATAGGGCCCTGGACTGGAACTCAAGAGAGGGGGGTTTTATTCCTGGCTTTGACCCTGACCTGCCGTGTGACCCTGGACAAGGCATTCATCTTTCTGTGCCGGTTTGCCCTCCCACGCTTTGCCTGTAAGATCTTTGGGGCAGGAGCTATCTCTTTCTATATGTTTGTACAGCCCCTAGCACAATGACAGCTCTAGGTGCTATTGGGATATGAATAATCCTATTAAGATCCACCCTATTTGAACCTTAACAGAAGAAGAGATTTCCCCTCCCCCTTTGGCAAATTACTTTACATACATGGAGATATACCTATCTCATAGAGCTGGAAGGGATCCCGAAAGGTCATTGAGTCCAGCCCCCTGCCTTCACTAGCAGGACCAAGTACTGATTTTGCCCCAGATCCCTAAACGGCCCCCTCAACGATTGAACTCACAACCCTGGGTTTAGCAGGCCAATGCTCAAACCACTGAGCTATCCCTCCCTCCTTATATAACATTTACATTTCCTTCCACTTCTGCCTTTCCTAATGAACTTTGCACAGTTTGTGTAAACAAAGAAATGAGATATGGCAGTTTGGGGTGGGGGCGAGCATAACACATCTATATCAACAGTGTAGTGGGAAACACTGGGTGCTGTCAATAGCCTGAGATGAGCGATGAAAGGTTCGGGATATATTCCAGCTATGTTAATAGGCAGCTTGTTGGTTTGCTTACAGAATCCTGAGCTCAGACCTAAATTCTTTTGACTTGTGATTCAGAAGCAGGAAGGATTGCGTGGGAATAATGAAGTGGAAAAGCCAAGAATGGGATAAATACTGGTGTTTGTCTCCACTAAAAGGTGAGATGAAAGAGTTTTCTACCTGCCAAAAGGTGAGTTCAATAATTTAGCTGTCTAGGGATCAAGTTTTAAATACCTAGACTCCTTAAAATCTAGCCGGGTTGACTCAGCCCTTCTCTCTTCCAAAGTAAATAAAGGGTGATGCAATTTACTATGTATGGGTCTTTCAGCAGAGATCGCATGAATCAAAGTCCTATGGGACAGATTGCGCCCATATGGGTCTGAATTGCCTCAGGGGAAGAGCCAAAGGGGCATTTTGCTTCAGGTAGGCATGATGCCTGCTCTAGTGTCCCAGGGTGTAGGAGGTGTATGCCCAGTGTTACACCTCTTAAGTGGATGTAGACTGAACGCCCCTTCACAGTTAGCCAGCTTTGCTGGGGGAGTGCAAACTCACAGGTCTTCTTTAGAGTGGCTTGTGTCCCTCTGGGTGCGAGCAGATACTAGTTCCTGCACTCAGGTGAGGGACCAAGTTTGTGGAAAGCCATTAGGGGCACAAAGACAGAGAAAGCTTCTTAACCCTCCCCTCTGTGAGCCACAATCCAGCTCTTTAAAAGCAGATGTTCCCTGGCAGGCATAAAAACGTGGGTGCAATCACCATGATTTATACCACATTTGTATATCAATTTAGGGCCATCATTTTCAAATACCCTGGGCAAAAGCTTGGATGCCTTTTGCGGGGGGATGAGGCAGGGGGGCACCTAGTTGAAAATGAAGCCCTCGGTTTAGTACAACCTCTGATTCCACAATTCAGCACCCAGCTCGAATCTCTTCTCACCCTTGGAGTTCTTGCTGCTTTGGGCTTCCTCCAGAGCCTTTACCCAACATCTCTCGGCCTCCTAGAGAGCTTTCCCCATCCTGGCTACATATGGAGAACTGCCAACTCCATTGTCAACAGGCAAGTTGCTGATTCGTTGAAGAGAGATGAAGAGGATGGGGCAGTTAGAAGTGTGCAAAAACAGAAAGATTTTAATGAAGAGTGCTCAGTTATTTATATTATTCTTCTTTTCTCTGTTTAGCATTTCATATTACATCCACACCTGCACCTGTTCCACTCTTCCATGTGTATGGTCTCCGTATTTCCAGCTTTGTAGCTCTCCAATTGATATTGACATTTTCTGTGTTGGATAACTCTCTTTTCTTTGTCCATAGGAGGGGGCCGAATTGGTTGCTATGGTAGATCATCTTCAAGTACTGGCTAGTTTGGAAGGGGGAAGACTAGGTGAGTGTCAGGACGAAAAGAGAGCAGGAACTCATAACAGTCAAGGTATAACACGATGAAGCCTGGACTAGGGGGGGTTGTAATTGGAATGGATGGATTTTCTGAGATATTTTGAGGAGACAACCAGCAGGATTTAGTGACCGTATCTATCCATGGGGAAGAGGGAGAAGGAGACATGGGATTCAACAATGAAACCAAGGTGGTGGAGCGGCTGACAGCTATGGAGAAGGGAGGGGGAGGGGAGGACCTCGGAGGAAAGATAGGCAATTTTGTCTTTAACATGTTGAGTTTACATTGCTGTCGCATGTTGAGGAGTAGATGTCAGAGATGTCTGGAGATGGCTAATTGTCCAGGAAATCTTTACAGCGAAAACAACGATCACTTTAGCCACTGTCAGGCCATTAATGTTTCAGTTTCTAAATAGCACTGGCTCATTTCCCCATAAAACTCCTTCTCCCAGGTCTCAATAAATGGTTTTAATCTAGTAATCATCCAAACTTTTAAGTGGTTATGTGGCAACCCCTTTATATGCGCTTCATTTCAGCTCCACATATAAACACATTGCAAATTAGCAATCAGGTTAAACCCCATTTCACAGTGATAATCTGATGCAAACCAGACACTGATTCATATGCATCAGTCAAAACAAACATACCTGTGGACCATCAAACATAAATTTCTTCCATACTGCTGCATTATAGATCGAGTAACTTGTATGTCTTTTCTTTTGCCACGGGGCTGTAACTTGGTTCCTTTGCAATAGCAGGATTCGAGAAACACTGTTAGAAGACATGGGAACAGCTTTAGGGGAAACGAGCTGGCCTAGTATTTAAAGTGAATGTAAACACGTTAAGGTCAGATTTCAGGAAGCTTTAGAGCCAGCCAATAGAGAAAAACAGGAACAAGATTTGTAGATTCTAAACCCAGAAGGGACCACTGTGATCATCTAATCTGACCTTCTGCATAACACAAGGCCTTGGAGCTTTCCTAGAATAACTCCTGGAGGTGCAGTGGGCTAATCCTGGAAACCTGGGTGCAAACTAGATCTCAGATTAGTTTCCAAATTAAAATGCATTTCGTATCTCACCACAAGCCCCATTTCTGTAAGCTAAAAAGGTCACTCGATAGTAGAACCAGTCAAAATATTTTGAAACTTTTGAAGAAAATTTGTTGCCAGCATTTTCCATATTTTTTTATTTGCTGTTTTGCAACCAACGTACAGCGTGGTCAAGATATTTTAAAAAATCAAACAGTTGATGACTTTTTTTTTTTTACAAGACATTTTTTTTAAAAACATTTTCACAACACTTTTTCTGCATTTTTTGACCTGCTCTACCAGGCAGCTGAGTAAATTTTAGCCTGATTGACAAATTTTGATCAGAGATATTGGAATAGCAGAACATCACAGGTCTGAATCACCTGGAATTTATGCACAGTTTTGCTGGAGGGGCTCTATTTATTTCAATGGAGTTACTGCAGAATTAATCCACAGTACGATAGGGCAATCCGGTTGTATAGGCTGTGGCTGAGGTGAATTGGCAGAGCTGTTTATGGAAAGCAGGCAGAGTACTTAACTTCATTATGCCTGGCCCAAGCCAGCCTTATTAGCCCATCACTTTCAAAAGCACAAAATTCACAGATACATTAAAATAAGAAGTGTTTTAGGGAAAAGACAAAGATTTTTTTAAAAGTCATATGGTATTACATGGGGTAGAATTCTAACCCAGAAATATCTGAGGAATGTTTTATAGCTATATGATAAGGCCAAAAAGTATTTTGATTAGAGCTGATCAAAAAACAGAACTTCAGTCCCATGGGCAATTCCACTACTTTGACGTTTGGACAAATCAGGACAAAAAGTCAAAATATCAACACTTTTCATGAATGAAAAATTCCAGCAAATGTTGATTCGGAAATGTGGAAGCATTTCATTCCATGTCGACATGAACCTCTGTGTCCACATGAGCTGCTGCAACACATCATGGTAGTCTCATGCCTCCAGTGAATCATGGGAGAAGTAGTCCAGGTGGGAAGCCCAGCCCATAGGAAAGAACAAGGGCATGAGACACCCAAATTATAGCTGTCATAAAGCATTGCAGCAGCGCAGGAGGGTTCAAAGATTAACGTCAAACCAACCTGGAACAAAATGTTTTGTTTTGAAAATGTCAGCAAAATTGTCATTCCCACAAAAATTTTGATTTTGCAGAAAACACGTCCATTGAAAAACACCGAAGGAACATTCCAAAGAGCTATAATCATGAGCTATTGCTAATGAAACAGAGGAACATGCAAGTAGAACTGGGATGTAATCAGCTGAATCTGAATTAAAAGAAATATATTTGATTTAAAGTTTTTAAAGATCTGAAATTTTCATGCAAGATTATGCTAATCCACTTTCTGAACTATAGTTACCCTTGCACAATCTGTCAGATTGGAGAACAAATCTATTTCCCCCCCATTAATGAAAGGAAGCAAAAATATTCCAGGTCTACCTTATACAAATTTATTGTGGCATGTTCTGGAATCTAGCTTGAGTGATAAACACATATCCTATTATCTTTTCTTCCGCCTGCTTATTGGCAATGGTTAGTAATCTTTCAGTTATGGAAAGCCAAACGTGAGCCAGTATTTTCCATTATGGTTGTAATTTTGGCCTGTAATTTTATCACTCGAATCTAAATCCACTTCAGAAACACAATAAACTAATTGTCACTGAATAAACTGAAACTTTTGAGTGGTTTATAGAAGTGATTTAATAAAAGGAGAATAAAAAACAAATGTTAGCCACAATATTTTTGGCAAAAATGGTACAATATTTCTTTCTATTCTGCTCATTTGAACACAAGTATCCACCCTAGCTTTTAAATGCAGTCATACAGGTTTTCTTTCTCTTGGATAATGTAGCAGCAGATTTAACATTTGTCCAGTGTGATTTGACTTTTCTTTAAAGCAAAGTAAACAGATCAAATTTCTATGCAACAAAGATACCCTCTTTCTAATTTTTAAACATATTCAATGCTAAGTGTTAACAATATGGCTGTGTTCGCATTACATAGTTATAGTCATTTTCACAGTTTGCATAGCTAAACACTTCAGAGCCCATTGTAAGTTTATGTTAGGCAATAATCTGAATGACTACTGGTTAGCCTGCTTCACTTCATTCATATTAAGAAACAATATACAGAGGATATAAAGTGATCAGCTATGTTTATGCTGAAGAAAAAAAGGATTGCATAACTAGTAAACAGGGAATTTGTGTTTGAACATTGACAGGCTTCTGCTAATCACTTATGAATGAAAATCTTTTGCAAAACCTCCAAGCACAGACAAATCTGGAAATGTCAAACAATGGAAAGTCTACGAACAGTATTTCCAGCAAAAAACTAAAAGACATTAGTAACTCTTTTATTGTGGTGGTGGTTATGTTGACACATGAAAATTTGCAAAGCATGGCTGTGTGCAGAAAAAAAGCCCCATACTGATTCATAAACCAGATCCATTTAAGAAAGCAACATAAATCTGCCTATTATAAATTAATAATTAATACTGAGGCTGATTGCCCATTCTGACTGGCCTGTGCTCGGCCCAGGAATGGGGTGGGAGGGCCTTATCTCACCTTTCGGCCTGTATTCTGGGTCTGCCCAAGGACCAGTTCTATCCTCAATGTCAATTAGAGCAGCCCTGAATCTGCTCTTACTTGTGTTCTGTTGCAACAGGGGCCATTGCAGCAGCCAGAACACATTGGCCCTCTAACTATTCCTCTCTCACCTGGCTGCAATCTTGGCACACTCCATATCAGAAGGGTGGCAAGAGGAGGTAGTTTATAAGAACATAAGAATGGCCATACTGGTTCAGACCAATGGTCTGTTTAACCCAGCATCCTGTCTTCTGACAGTGCCCAGTGCCTGATACTTCTGAAGGAATGAACAGAACAGGGCAATTATTGAGTGATCCATCCCCTGTCATCCAGTCCCAGCTTTTGGAAGTCAGAGGTTTAGGAACACCTGGAGCATGGGGTTGCGTCCATGACCATCTTGGCTAATAACCATTGATCAACCTATCCTCCATGAACTTATCTAATTCTTTTTTTATCCTAGTTATAACACACAACCTAGGTTTGTTACCAGAGGGGACTGTTTCTGCCCCTTTATGTTATTGAAGAAGTGTAAAGGGGCCAGGACAGATAACTGACCCCACAGCCAGCTACGGATAGTTATTTTTCCTCATGTTTATGCTGCTATTGAGTTTCTTTCCTTTGATTCCATTCTAGCCAACATAGATTTTCATACTGCACCATCACTATGGTATCTGGGCACCATGGAATGGAGAAAAACAGACAAAATGAGGATTAATGTCTCCCCCCTTCCTTCTAACTCCTGGAGGTGCATCTGAGAAGTGGGTTTTTTACCCACGAAAACATATGCCCAAATAAATCTGTTAGTCTTTAAGGTGCCACCAGACTCCTCGTTGTTTTTGTGGATATTGACTTACACAGCTACCCCCTGATCCTGGAGGTGTAGTTAGTTGCAGGAGGGGCAGGATGTTTGCTTGGTTTTAGTACAGTCATGTGTCCATTATTGTGGAAGAGCCAAATCAAAGATGTGGGTTTCCTTAGGTCTGTGGTCTTGCTCAACCCCTGTGGGGCGGCAGTCTGCCAGGAAAGCTCTATCCCCAGTTCCTACATGTCTAAACCTTGCTGCTGAGGGTTCCATTGTATCCAGTGAACGTCACGGTGGGTTCTGATCAGGCGGTCTCTGAGGTAGATGGGCGTTCATCTCAATAAGGCTTTGAAGATCAAGACTAGTAGCGTGAACCTGACTTGGTATCCTATGGGAAGCCAGTGTAGAAACCAGAGCACCAGGGTGATGTCTTTGTATTGACCAGTGCTGTTTAGTTGGGAGGCTGCAGCATGTTGTGCCAGCTCAATCTTCTTCCAGGATTCCTAAGTATAGCACTGTTGCGGTACTGAAGCCTGAAGGTCATGCAAGCATGGATTACAGTTGCCAAGTCCACACGTGTCAGGACTGGGAGCTATATGAGTATCCAGTAGCAGGGGGAATTCAACGTGATTCTGATCTACACGATGAGCTAGGGCTGTGATTCCCAGCTCGCGTACACATGCTAGCATGATTAGAACTAGTCGTGTACCCGTGGCAGCACGGGCAGCAACAGCACGGCTTAGCCATGCCAAGTACATACCCACAGGCTCAGGTGCTTACCAATGAGCTTAGGCTGGGCAAAGCCTCTTGTCCATTCTGCAGAGAAGCAACCCCTCTCCTCCGGATGGAACATTCCAGGGGAATCTTAGCACGTCTTATAAAGAGTTCCTCGTCTCTGCAGCCCCGATTCAGCAAAGCACTTAAGCACCAGCTTCAGTGCTTTGCTGAATCAAGATCTGTGTGAGCTTTTATCCTTCAGTGCAGTAATTTGGCCTATGATTTTCAGACCAGCACAGCTAAAGAACATGCCCTGTGATCTGATTTCCTTTAATGGCCAGGTGCTTTTAATAACGAACTGCCAACTGCAACTGGTATTGCAGCAAATGGTGCCTGGAATGAAAAGGGAGGGGGGAGGGAAGTCAATGAAACAGAACAGATAATTTTGCAATTTAATTTTCCATCTTCTCTAATAATGGTACCAATGTCATGGTTGATGGATGAAATTGCTACAGAAGGCTTCTTAAGATTAATTCCCCTCCTATAACTACAGCTGTGTTTTTCCAGAGCACATCTTTACTCCCTTACTCAATCTTTCCTGCCCCATCCCCCTTTTTTTCCCTTAGAAGAATGTTTTGGATCATAGACTGCATGGAGAATTAGACCGGGCATAAGGGCCAACTTTCATGTTTACTAAAGCGACTACAGTCCTTTTTCTGAAGGAGAGAGTGCAGCTTTTATGTGGAAAACTTGAGCACAGCAGCAAACAGACCAGAATACCCTCTTCCCCTTATCTGAAACTGCTGACTATCACACAAATACAGTGCATCTGCTCCTTCCAGGATCTTAGTGGATCTACATTTTTTACCATTATGCTTAGGCAAAATCTCCGAAGCCCATTAAAACCTACAGTGTAATCTGAGCCCCATATTTTCTCAGACCAGGAGATCTGCAATTTAAAGACAAGGTTCGATCTTATCTATTTTTTATCTGACAATGCTGGCTCCACCACATAAGTTTTATCTGCAAAGAAAATAATGCAATTAATGTCCTGGCTGTCTAGAACTTTACGGAGAGATCTTGGTTCTAACAACTCAGGGCAGCCTGTCAATTAAATGTAACTCTGTAAACTTTAATGAACCAAATCCTTATCAAAGAACATGCAAAGCTACTAAATTAAGTTCATGGACTTAGTAAACTATATGGAAAGGTTTGGGGTTTGTTTGCGGGGGGGGGGGGGGGGTTATGTGGGGGAATATAGAGACACTGTTGAACAAAATCTGATTTTCTTTCCCCTCCACTGGCAAAGAAAGCACATACCGCTAACAAGTGTCATTACTGTGTTTACGTCACCGAAGAATTTTCTCTTTCTGGCACGCTCACTGGTATCCCACAGCTGAAGGGGCTCCAGGAAAAAAAAAGAACAATCTGCCCTAATGGGGGCGGTGGAACATGAAAACTCCTCTTGCTCGATTTGCACATTTAGCCCTGACAAAATGATTTTAGATCTGGAAACCAAAGCAACCATTGCATGGTTGCTTTTATTTGTATGCATTTTCTTGGCGCGCTAGTGATCAAGAAAGCATTGGAACAAATCTGTAGCCACCCAGGACTTCCTGGCTACCATTGTGCTGCACACCATCGACAATCGGCACTGCACTGTGGGAACAGAACTTTGATACTCTTGCTCCAGAAAACACAGGCCCTTGCCACTCTAGCTAAAGGAGACTTGTTATTAGTTAGCGGTGGGGGGCCTATGGCACACAGTGGAGTGGTTCTGATTCTCTACAGTAGAGGGTAGTGGTGCACAGATAGCTCATCCAGTGCTTTCAGAGCAACTCTTTATTTGCTTTTACTGCCTGCAGTAACAACAAGCAAGTCTCTTAAAGTTTGAAGTTCAGATTCAGCTGAGAGACACATCCAAAAGTTCAGATGCTTATCTAGAGATTATCCAAACTATTCAAACCTCTTCCATCTGCAAAAATCCATTGGAAATCTCATTAGAGCAAGCTGCTTTGTTAGATTTCAAGCACTTCAGAATCCTAATAATACCTAGCTCTCAGAGTGCTTTTCGTCCATGGATCTCAGAGCACCTTACAAAGGAGGTCAGTATCATTATCCCAGCGGGAAACTGAGGCATGGAGAACTTGGCCTCCTGACTGCTGTTGAGGCATATACGACCTACCCTGCCAATCATGGTAACAACCAGCGGCAAAATAACAGCTGTTGGACAGGGTCGGATCTTTAAGGATTTTAAGTTCTGCATGGAAGAGACAGGGCTGAAGCCAATTATTATTAGCATTTCAGTAGCACATAGAGGCCCGAACTGAGATCAGGCATTGCACACACACATGGTTAAACAATCCATGCCCCCAAAGAGCTGGCAGTCTAGACACAGAGAAGGGCAGCCATTTGCCCAAGGCCATGCAGCAGGTCAGTGACAAAGCTAAAAATAGAACTCAGCAAGACACTTAGGCACAGCCATGCTCACCATCCCCACACCTAATTTGTAGGCGCCCGAAACATCCCTGGGATTCACAGAGCCTGAGTTAGGTGCCTCAACTCCCTGTCCCATGAATGGAAAGAGACAGACAGGCACTTTGGAATGGGATTCACAGACGCCAGCATGCTGTGACTTCCCTGCCTAAACTAACCAAGGCAAGGGGTGCGTCCTAAGCCCTAGGCGTTTGGGGCCTAAGTCCAGGCTGCATGGAGGTGCCCCCTTTGCTTGGGATTCTCAGCTGCAAACCCTCTTGGCATTAGGTTCCTATGACCTTTTTTGCAAGTAGCGGGGGGAAAAGGAGGTAGGGAGAGGATGCCAACCGTTCTCATAATTATTAGTTCAGCAGTTAGGGTATTCACCTGGGATTGGGGGACCAAGACCCTCCTCTGTCTACGAAGGAGAGAGAATTTGAATAGAGCTTTGCCATCTCTCAGTGAGTGCCCCAGCCACTGAGCCATGGGATATTCTGCTGTAGGGCTCTCTCAATGTCTCCTGGCGAAGCTGTTCCCCTGTGAATAAATAATAAAACAAAAGTCATTGGAGGAGGGAGACTGGACAGTGAGTGCGCTAGACACCAGGCTATAGAGACATTCTCAGGCTCTCTCTCGCCCAATGATTCTTTCATTCTTTATGAAGAAGGGGCCCGATCCAGCAGGTGAGCTCTGAGCAGGGTCACCAGATTGGGCCGCTCAGGTGAGTTAGACAGAGGAACCCTTGTCTTCTCCTGGTTCACATATCGCCCTGGAATTTAGGCATCTGGACACTTGGCATGGGGCTATAGTGCACATATGAACAGGCAGAAGCATAGGCGGCTAGGGGACTTTTACTGCCAAAATGTATGCACCAGGCGAGTTTAGGTACCTATGGTATTCAGGGACAGATGAACAGGAGGGCTATGAATCCCAGTGGGGCCTGATTCTGGGATTTAGACACCCAAAATGGCAGCTAGGCACTTAAGTCCTTTTGTGACTCCAGTCCCAAGTCTCTTGATTTTCCATAGCCACTGGAGATCATTGCAACTCCAAAAAATGCTATTTTTTCTCAACTAAAGATACTGTGAGGAACTCATCCAGTTGGATTCTTTCCAGACTCACTCATCTCCTTAGTAGTGACTAGTAACTTCAAGTGATTGCTGTGATGAGTTTGAGCTGTTGTTTGAAGATGATCATTGATAACGCCGGCAAGAAAAGTTCAGGTGTTGGCATCTATGGTGACAGCCCATTTGCTCACTGATTGGAGAAACTTTCATCATATTGGACCTGATGCAGAGCCCGCTGAGGTCAATTGAAGATTGATTTCAATAAGCTTTGATTCAGGGTCATTGTTCCCAGCCTGTGTTCTTCCTTACAGTGGTTTCCTACAAAATGCTGGATTGATTGTAAGATGGCACTGTTGATTTTTAAAGTTTGTAACAGTGCAGGACCCTGGATGCATTAAACACCTCCTTTGTGAGCCTTGTCTTCATGGGTACAGGTGTTCATATGCCATCTGCCTTCAGGGTTCCCACCATAGTACCGTTGGCTGACCTTTGGCCGTGTCTTTGCTGTGGCAATCTCTACATTGTGAAACATTACTCGTCTCCAGAAATCCATCTCAGTCGCTCTCACCCCACTTTCAAAAAACACCTAAAGCTGAAGCTTGTTGAAATATAATCTAAATTCAGAAAAAACAATAATTATGGAAAAAGTTGATAAAATTTTCTTGCTATTTTTTAT